TCGTGGGGGAGGAGGGGGAACTCATAGTCGTGCATGCCGTAGTCGTTAGACCATTGACCTCGCATCCCTGCAAAGCCGGGACGGAGCACGCCGGGTTCTCACCGGACCAGGCTCTCACATCACCAAGCGCGAAGCACCGTGAGGTATTCGGCGAGTCGCATGAATGGGCAGGGGGGGGTTGTGGATGCTGGGCCCCTTGTAAACCTACAAGCCGCGACGCATGGGGTCGTATTGCCCGCCGATGCGATGACACGGGCTCAAGTTCCGCGAGCGAGTCCAGATACCCACGCCCAGGAAATGATATTGTCGAGTTTGAAAAAGTTGGTCGTAATTGGTGATTGGTGATTGATTGATAGCTGTCACGCCACCGGTGTGATACGATTCGATACGATTGTACAATTGTAGCGTAGACCTTCGCTTGGAACTCAAAACGTGCTGTCACGCGGTACGGTTTTCTCTAGTGTAAGGGGTGTGTGGTGAAGTGCGGGGCGTGATATCCCGCAGGACTTGGGGTGCCCGACATCAACTCGGGTGAATGCAATCCTCCGCTTCAGAATTACATGGCGGTCCCTTTTTAACAATGCTGTACCCAACCATTCGATCGACACAGCTGACGAAACAAAAGCCAACGGAAACCGCGTACAGCAGAATCTGACAAAAAAACATTTTTTAAATGTCACACCGCAAAGAATGGCACACACGAAACCCAACCATTCGATCGACACAGCCGACGAAAACAAACGTCAACCGAATCGCGTATAGCAGTGTCTGACAAAATTAGACAAAACCCCCGGCAAAACACACCACAACGAGCGGCACCCACGAGACAAACCCGCGCCGCCTTTCGTTCTCACCGTGGGAAGACGCAAACTCCGCTACCGGGTTCGCTCCAGAAGCCGCCGCCGCCGCCCTGGCATCGAAGGGCGTCTGCGTGCTGAGTGCCGCCGCCAGCGTCAACACGTGCTCGCTCTCGCCGAACAGCGCCCCCAGGGCCAGCATCTTGCCCACCGATGGATCCACCGGCAGTGCCGACAGCACTCGCCCGAGCGGAGTTAGCGGTGCGCGGGCGGTGGCATCGTCGAAGGTCGGGGGAGTTGTGGTGGCGGTAGTCCCCTCTTCCCGCCGTCGAGGCTCGGCGTTGCTCTCAGGGGCGGCAGGAAGACGCTCCGCGTGAGGAGCACCCAGCCCGGCACCACCACGAGGATCGGACCCGACCGCTACAGCACCCTCCGTTATTGCTGCTGCTGCGGTTGCTGCCTCGTCAGCAGCGGCAGCAGGCACAGACACGGCGGAAGCAGCGTCCGTGGCGCCGAGAAGCGCGAGCGACTCGAGCGCGGCCCTGAGATTCTCCGGTGGCGGGGGAGACAGGTACGGGAAGTATCGAGGGTCGTCCAGACCAAGGCTCTTCATCTGGAGGACCAGGCCCTCCAAAGGGCAGCGCCGGATCTCCGGCTCGGCGAAGGGGGGGAGGCGGTCGAACGTGCTGCGGGCGTACAGGCGGAAGCAGACCCCGGGGCCCGTCCTCCCCGCCCGGCCCTTGCGCTGCTCCGCGGACGCTCGGCTCACCCAGAACTCTTGGAGGGACCTGGGCAGGGAGGGGGGGGGGGGGGGGGCACACAGAGAGTGCCGAGAGTCTGCCCCTTGCTCATCATTCCCGTACCCGATACTATATGCAGCACCCGAAACGGACCAATGATGACTTATAACACTTCCGTTCGAGGTTTACGTGGAGTATTTTGGGCGTGTTTTGGATGGTGATTGCTAGGAATGGTTCGAAATACAGAGAGAGTCATCTGCCAGCCTGGCATAACAGGTAGGATCACAGATGGGATGGTTGGTGCGAGAAATAGAGGGAAGAATGCTCGAGGGGCGGTGCGGTTATCGGCAGTGTGCCACATACTTGTTGGCGTATGCCTATTTTCTACATCCATGCATCGGGATACTCATCCAAACCAAAGGCCCTGAGTCGTCTCCTCGATAGCCTTCCCGCATAAGAAAAAAAAACACGCAAGCCGGGCAATGACAACGGTGTAACGCTAAAAAAGTGCGCTTGCCTCACGCCCGACGCTGGGTCCCAGCTCATCTCCTTCGCCTTCCCGCTATCGCACACGAACCGAACCCCGTCGATGGTCACGCTGGTCTCGGCAATGTTAGTCGCCAGAATCATCTTGCGCGTCCCCAGCGGCGAAGCATCGAAGACCTTTCGTTTCGCCGAGCAAGAAAGCAGGGTGGGGGGGGGGAGGGGTGGTTGAGCTGGCCTTGCACGCAAAGATAAAGGAGTGTTATGTACCGAAGGTGATATTAGACCCCCACACCCCCCTTGAACCGATTTTCAAAGGTCCGCTTCTCCACGACGATGAACTAATCAAACCATACGTTAACGGAAATCTCTTCACAAGACGGTTCCAACGCCGGCATTTTCAGCACTGACATGCCACGCTCTGCGCTGTGAAGTAATCGAACTTCGAAAATCGGTCCAGGGGGCCACTCTCTGCGCTGCGGAGTAATCGAGTTTCAAAAATCGGTCCAGGGGGTGTGATATCTTACGTCACCTACGGTATGTGGGTGGCGAATCGGCCTGAGCCGGTCAACGATCGAGCCCCGGGTGTGCACGATTGGAGTGAGACGATGGAGACGCTACGAGGCCAAGAACATGCTCGCGAAAGGGCTTGGCGGAGGTGGGGGGGAGAGCCGGGGTATGTGTGCTTGTACAGTAGCCACAGGTCTACCACAAGGCTGCGACGGTATTGTATTGACGCAAGTTCTCGAGTGTTACGGTTGTACATGCCGTGCACGAGGCCTTGCTCTTTGTCATAGCCAAAGAGCTTGAGCACATAGCCAAAGAGCTGCCCTAGTGAGAGAAGCACTTCAAGATTGATGATCGGAAACGAATCCAGTCCATCTCCTGGGCAAGCCGGAAACACCACCTCAAGCCCTCATCCCCACATGTATTGCCCTTAAGAAGGCGATCATGGATGACGCATCCAATTACCAGCCCAAGAAAGTCTCTCGCCTTGTCTTGCTCCTCCACCGACAGGCTAGAGTGCAGCATCAGGACCACCCAGCGCCGTGGGCTCTTCGCTTCCACGTACTCCCTAACCCCTTCCGTGACGGCCAGCATGTCGCTCATCCCGGACAAGAACACCAAGAGGTCCCCTCTTTCGTCTCGCGGTGTCGTCGTGTCAATACTCTCCAGGAGCTGGGGGGGCGGGGGGGGAGGGGGGCGTACTCATTTGTTGCTTGCCTTAGTCATTTGACCATTGACCACGCGTCCCTTTCGAGACGGAGCACCGTTCCTACCCCTACTAGAGACACCACCAACATTTGGGAGCTCTTACTCATGATTTTCATGCCTTAGTTGTTAGACCATTGACCATGCGTCCTCGAGAGGACGGAGCATTGCTCTTACAGGACCGGTCACCGATGGCAAATCGTTCCTTCCTACTTTGCCAAAGGTGGGTCAAAATTGGGGGGGGCAGTACAGTATGTTGGCAACGGTCGTACAAACCGAAAACTTGGTATAGCAAATGCTCCTCGTGTCATCATTGAGATATTCCCGGCATCGGCATCTGCCACGGCGTTTGGGATCTACGCAGAGTTAGGTCTTGACTTACTTACATAGTTCGACATTAATCACGCCGGGACCTAGGGCTAGTCTAGTCTGCGTTGTTTAGGGCTGCAAGGTCATCGCCTAACCACTCGGCAACCTCTCGTATGTTCTGCTTGCCCGCGTCAGCTCGCTCGCCTTGAAGCGGCCTTGGGGCAACTGTCACTACCGTACAGGTTGTCGGACAATGTGAATGCTCGCAGTAGGGTTTCGAGGTATGCAGCAAAGAAAAGATCCACTTTGGGAGGTGGGCGACGTAGCACAAACACTGCCGTCAAGCCCGAGACTTCCAAGTGCTGCGAACGTTTGACGCCAGCGACAGCACTACAACGCCCGATGGTGCCTAGTAAAAAAGCGTTGAGCACAACCGCCGTACACGTTGAACACAACCGTCTACAAGTGTTTTACACCATGGCACTGCTCTAACAACAACAGCGCTGCTCTCGCAGCAGTGCGCTGCTGTCGCAAATAGAAGCCGAAATCAAACCATTAGACTAGTCAGCATAGACTAGTCAGCGGCTGTCTAGTCTAATGGTTTGATTTCGGCTCCTATACACCACCCAGCAGAGAGGTCTGACCGACTGCCGCACCACCGCCACCGACTAACCTTGACGTACGGACGAGCATCAAACATGACTCGCTTTCCTTCTCCTCCTCCGCCTCCTCGGCTTCGGAGCTTCCGCTGGCCCTCTCCGTCGTGCTTGGATACCACCTTGGTGGTTTGCGCACGTTCCGAAGAATGGTCGGGACATCCGCCCAGGAATTGGCCTAGGCCAACCGGTAGCATGGCTAACGGCAACCGTAGTTGAAGTTTCGGTTCTTTCAAGCACGGTATCGTATCAATCAGAGCGGCCTCGTAGGAGGTAAAATAAGCAATCGATTCTCTTTGGGAAAGTCATTGGAGGGAGGGACGAGGATGCAGTGTGGATCGCTCACTGCCATGGCATGACCGACCAAAACGAAAACACCCTGGTGTTGGAAACGCAGCAGATGCTAAGCCAAACACTGCCCGGTATGTAGCTAGCAGCAGAAGCAGCTTTTCTGATTGGCCATTTTTTTTGTAACAAACGTCGTGTCGTGTCGTGTCGCGTCGTGTCAGTCGGAACAGAAGCAGTAACAGCAGCAGCATGGCATAAAGCCTTTGATATTCCTCCCGAGGCTCGCCGAACCTCACCTCCTGGATGTCGTTGTCGGCTGCTGTCGGCACGTACCGCACCTCCACGGGGTGCATCCTCCCGGGAACCCTGATCAGAGGCGCGCCGTCGAAGAACCTGGACACCCGAACACACGTACGCGAGAATCAACAACAACACGCCCACAGTACACGCACGGTAAGTAGGGGTGCAGATTGGTTGATGCATGGCTGATCGCCGTTGCAGACAAAAACCCCTCCGTATTGCCTTGTTCTATCGTAATAATGGGGGCGAACGCACAGGTGTGGGCATCGAATTATGTATATGTCAAACTACCATACATTGGCCCCGCAACCAAGAGGCTGCCAATGCCGAAACGTTTGTATATTAAAAGATCTATGGCGTACAAAAGCTACGCTAATCGATTCATCCCTCGCTCATGCCACCTGTCGGGACGAATACGACGACAGCCACAGCAGCAGCAACCACAACGACAACAACAACAAACAACAACTACTTTAAATATCGACTCACCTCGAAAATAGCTCGGGGTTAATGGTGGCAGACATAAGGACAACTTTCAAGTCCGGCCTCCTCCTGAGCACCGCTCGAAGAAGTCCAAGCAAGAAGTCGCACCCAGCGTGTCGCTCATGAACCTATCACAACAAGCATCAACAGGGTCGCATCGGTTCGTGGTGCCAGACGTGCTTCGTTTCCAACCCTGGTATAGTCCTCTTCTGTCTGCGGGATACAGAAAATAACGATTCCGTCTCCGACCGGTGTGGAGATTATAAGCAGCAGTGCCAGGACATTTCCCCCCGTCACAAAAACGCATCACAAATGATCAATCAACCGCTGGTGGTGCTTCATGGATGCTCACCGGCATGATAATAGTCCATATAAACCGTCACGTGCATGGTACATCCACCGTGTTTAGAGCTGTAACTCTAGTTCGTGGGGGGAAACAAGTTCGATCCCATCGTGAGCGAGAAAATCAACGTCGACCCTCTTCGACAAATCTTCAATGGGGGCACCGTGAAGTAAAGGTGGGGGGTATGTGTCTGGAACGAATACTATTCTGTATGACCCCTGTGGCTCTACCAGGGCGGCTGAAGGGCCAAGAACTTCAGACAGAGTGGTCAGATGTATTGCTTGTCACCTCTACGTCTTACCTCATCGACGATGACAACCGAGTAGGACGACAGGTTCGGATCGCTGGCGATCTGACGCAGCAGCAGCCCTTCGGTGAGGAAGAGGATGCGGGAAGATCGACGCCTGGAAGAGTCGAACCTCACCTTCTCGATACCCGCGGAGGAAAAATGAAACAGGCAAGCCCCACGGTAACGGTGGAAGGGGTACAAGTACACTCCGCGGTAAATACATGGAGCGATCTACAGCAGCGGAAATCTGTATCAGAGTCTGGTCGGCACACCTACCCCTCCTCGAATGCGTTGTGTCAATCGGGTGCGCATTGATCAAAAATCGTACGCGTGTGGACCCGGGAGCGCCCCGACTCATCTCACCACGCAATTGCAGCATTTCTGCTACATTTGGTTCTGCCCAAACACTTCGCGGGATGACCTCAAGAGCCGTGGGCACCGGCAGGCTAGTAGCCACGGGGCAATAACGGCAAGGGGATATTCCGCCGCATCGTCCCGCATCAAACGGGCCATCTTCTTACGTATTGATTCTGTTCCCGCGCCTCACCTGGTATGCCACCTCCGAGCCGTGCTCGTGAAGGGTCTCGTAGGACACCCTGCGGCAGAGGCCCATGGCGGAAATCCTCCTCGGCTGCGTGCAGGCCACCCTGCCGTACCCGGCTTGCAGCAAGTACTGCGGCACCTGTGCGGAAAGGTTTATTGCGCCGCATGGCATTGCTTTATCGTTTCGAGCGAACCATGCAACCGAGCGGGTCCCACCACCAAAAACGGAACCGTAGGGAGGGAAATAGATGGTACCAGGTATTAGCAGACACTCCTGAGTGGAGGATCTGACGAACACATAGGCGTTGTCTAACCGGGACGCCACACATCGATCTAGCTCAAAATAATGCTGGCCTGCGGACGAGCGCACAAGAGCACAGGTATACAGCAGTAGTAGCTCTCATCGCTCTTGTCTCCTTCGCGACTATGTACATGCGAACGCTGTTGTCGACAATCGGAAGCGCGGCCAGAGAACCAAAAGAAAAACGCTGAGGATCATCCGTCTTCCCCATGAAGCGTTCGAATCGACCGAGGTCAGTTCGACCCGTGGGTGTAGAAGGAAACCCGCCAAACGTCATTAGATTTTTCCTGCACCACTCGGAGGTTCACGGGCGGCACTACCTGAGTGCTCTTGCCGCAGCCGGTGTCTCCAGCCACTAGGACGCACGGGTTTGAGGCGACCGCCCTGACGATGGCGTTCTGAAAAGCTGCGATAGGGAGCGAGGCGCGATCTCGCCGGATCTTGACCACCTTCGCCAGGCTTCGACGCATGCGGAAGTCGATGAAAGCCTGTGGGGATAGTTTGCCGAGCGAGTTTCGAGGTAAGTGCAAGCAGTCTTCGACAGCGTTGCAACGCGCTCTCTCCACTGAAAAAACATTGACTGCGGCCACTTTTATTTCAACACAGGGTTGCGCACTCGCTAAAGTCTCCAAAGCATCCAGAAAATGAAAAGTGTTCAGCTTAGCTTACATAGAACGTTAATATATAGCAGTTGCTGTAACCTCTGGGACGTGCCCAACGACAGCAGTCGAAGTCGGCCTACAAAATTCCCCAAAATCCAGTCTAAGCTCCCATTGTACGAAGGAGTACCCCAAAGCTCCCGGCACGATGGTTGGTCTACCTCCAACATTACCAACAACAATCGAGGGTGCGCTCACGCCGACAATCTTAACGGCACAGTTCGTATTGACCCCAAATATGGGATCAGCATTGTGGCAAGACCTGTAGCAAAAATAACGTTATGCCTGCAGGGAAAAGGGTTGCACATTGCATCGTCGACACGACCGAGACCTCGTACGGTATTAAAAAAAACAGCTGTCCGGGGTCCCTGGCAACACGCGTGCGCGATTGGCTAAAGTTTAAACAGTCTCAAGAATGACCGAGAGCATAGGGGGCCCACATTCCAACGCGTGGAACGCACAAGAAGGCAAAACGATAGTAAAGCCGTGTGGCGTCGCGCAACTATCGGCAACAAAAGCTAACAGCACCAGCGGAACAGTAAAATAACAGCAGCCTCAACCCTCTCACTTGCAACACGGAGCCGCGGAAGTCTGCCATTGGGCCTGGCATGAGCATCGCCTTCACCTCCTCCCGCTCCAGCACCCCTCTCCTTGCCAGCTCCCGAAGTGCTGCCTTACCGGGGTCATAACTCGCCGCCGAGACGTCTCTCAAGCGCCCGCGACGACCTCTCCGGCCGTTTCGCATGCCGTCCTCCTCGACCTCTCTCTGCTGCTGTGCTTCCTGAGCTGCCCGTTGCTGTTCGGGGGAGAGGACGGTGAAGTTGACCAGGTAGCGCTTGTGGAACGATGTTGGGAGGGCGGAGAGTGCAGGCGGTAACGGCTTCGGAGCCGAAGGCCCCGCCGCCGTCGCGGCCGACGACTCGAAGACGGACGAATCTTGTGGAGGGTCTCTTGTTGAAGGAAACGCCGCGGCAGGTGGTGTGCTTGCCCCGTCCTTGGGTGTAAATTTAGCCTTGGCTGCAGCGGCGGCCTTCGCTTTCTCGCGGCGGACGAGAAACTTCGGCACGAATTCTGCTTGGATGAGAAACGGCAGCGTTCGGTCGGTCGGTGTGCGTGCAGGGTTTGCGGCGGGGTGACAAAGTTATGGTGATGAAGCAGGGATATTTCAAGGTACCTGTAGTAACCCGGTAGCTGAGAATAGCAGGGCAATAGCAAGCCTATTTTGGTTTTTATAGCCACAGCTGCTCCAGGCGCACTCGAGGGCTTGGTGAGGTGTCATACTTTTCGAACATATTCCTGACCTTCCAGCTCCTTGTACTCCTCGGTGGAGCCGGCGGGAATAGCACTATCCTGTGCGAAGAACATGGCCTGAAGGACTTGCCGGCACGAAGCGTCTTCCCACATGTGCTCCACGAAAGGATTCGCCTCTGCGGCAGACACCTCCGCTGTTGTTCGCACGGATGCCTCCCTCATCCCCACACCCGCCCCTCTCGATTGTGCAGAGGCTCCGCTTTCAGAAGTTTTGCCCCATCGTGACGTCCGTGTAGAGTCTTCGTGAGAGGGATGGCGGTGCTCCCGCTTCTGGTGCAACTGCCGTTGGCTGCTGCCGCTGTTGTTCACGTGCCGTCTCCGGTCACCCCCATGGCTGTCCTCTGACGTGCCTCTTCTAGAGTTGTCGTCTGATCGTGCTTGGCGAGCTCTTACTTCTCGCGCAATTCGTCGCAGCAGGTCGTCCACTGAGTTATGCGAGCTTGCCTCGCCCGGACCACTGCTGTGTGCTTCACCTGTTGCTCCTCGTTCCTCAGCTTGCGGAGATCCGTCCGTCCCAGGCATAGATGCAAAGTCGTCGCCAGGCGGCTGGCTCTCTCTCTCTGTTTCTCTCTCTGTTGCTGGACATTCATGCCGAGATCCTACTGTGTCGACCACCCATCCCACAGGTCCATATACGGCACGGCCCAGGATAATAGGGTGGGAACAACCCAGCTGTACACAGGGAGAGAGGGAGGGCTTATAGGCTGCTGCAGCAAGCTGCATGCGGCGGAATTTAAACACAGACCCGCCGCAATCTCCGGAGCCCCATTGCCCCTGCAGCCCTGCAGCGTCGTGCGCACAACCGCTACCACGTGCCACGTGCAACACAGCTTGCTTGGCAGAGGCGCACGCACCATCCCGTGACGTGAACTCACACGAACTTGAGATTCTGGTGGTACCCCTGCGCACGTTACCTTCGCCGGAGCTCGGACTCTTCTGCGGTGGTACATACCACATCAAATCACCCATCGCACCCATTTTCTCGACACCGACACATGTGGCGAGAAACAACACCTACCTATCGGCAGTGCCGCTAGCGGCTAGAGAGTGAGGATGACTACAGCAGCCGAAGTGGACAAGGTTCCGGTGGCCGCGGCCAAGGACGTCATCTCCAGCATCTTCGGGTCGGCAGCATGTGTTTACACCGGACAGGTTAGTTTGTTGGTTTGCCGAGATTATTTGTTCCGGACCTGCCGGTGATGAGAGCCGAGTACCGAGGCCTGCCGGCTAAGATAGCAAATGAACACACCGAAGGTTGCATGACATAAGGTATCACACCCCTTGGACCGATTTCCAAAGCTCGATTATTCCACAGCAGAAGGAGTGGCGGTACCGGAAATGGCGGCTTTGAAACTGCCTTGTGGAGAGCTTTCTGAACATGTATCATTGAGTCGTCTTCGTGGAACAAAGAGGTTTGAATTTCGCACAGGGGGTGTGTTATATTACATCATGAAACCTACAACTGTACATTGCCGGCTACGATGTAGACTAAGAGCACCATCTTCGTAAGGCCAAGCTTGTTTGGATGAGCAATCACGGGTCGAGAAAAGCCAAGAAAACGTGAATCAGAGCTATTTCTGAGTTGCACGATGATGGGTAAACAAACATAATGGAACAGACAGTTTTTTGCACGACAAAGATCCTGTGTTGATGTATGTGGTGTAATTCATTAACTCGTTTTTCCGCTGGTAGTGATTGAATGCGCAACTACTGCTGCCGGATGCTCAGCGGCGCCCCCCGCCCCCCCGGCCTTCCCCGCGCGCGTGCCGACCAGCCTCTAGACACAATCAAAGTGCGAATGCAAGCTCGTCCGGACGCCTTCAGTGGCACGTTCCAATGCCTGAGAAGGACACTAGCGGAGGAAAGCATCACGTCGCTGTGGAAGGGGTCGACGCCGGCCCTGGGTGGCGCCGTCCTGGAGAACATGGTAGCTTTCGGGGTGAACGAGCAACTCAAGCGCGTCTTCCCGGACAAGGACGGGTCGTCAGCCCCGTGGTGGCAGCCGATATTGTTCGGAGGCGTGACGGGCGTCTTCACCACCGTGGTTGTCTGCCCCAGCGACGTCATCAAGTCCAAGGTTCAGGTCGGACGGTCAATGCGAAAGGGGGTAGCAGTGTCGGCCAATGCAGAGGCCAAGGGGCTGCCGGTGCTCAACGCGACACGGATGACGGCGCACATCTTGCGAACGCAGGGAGTACGAGGCCTGTTCGTCGGGCTCGGTGCCCAGTTCGCCAGAGACGTACCGTTCTACGCGGCGTTCTTCGGAACGTACGAGACGGTCGTCGACCGCGGGAAGGCGCTGCCGTACGAGATAACCCCGGAGGTGTTGTACTTCTTGGCGGGTGGCATGGCGGGGGTGGTTGGGTGGGCGGCCGTGATGCCGCTAGACTCGGTCAAGTCTATCATTCAGACGACGGACAAGCCCGAGTCTTTGCTCCGGACCTTGCAAACGGTCGTCCGTACGAAGGGGTGGCAAGCGCTCTTCATCGGCTTGAACGCCGCTCTTGCCCGTGCTTTTCCCGCGAACGCGGCCCTCTTCTTGGGATACGAAATCGTGCGCAGGGCGTTGTAGCAGTCGAGGGGCGGTGTGTGATAGCCGACGGTGGTAAACGGAATTCTTCGTCATGTCTTCCACGGATGCTGCAGTAGACGATGCGCAGAGCGTGCTTGCTCAATTGGTTTTGTGCAACAGACGGCGTTGCTTGTTTTGTAGTTTTCCCTCGTGTTTTAGCAGTTCGGTCTAAGTATCTACCTGGTTGAAGTAGTTTTCGACCGAAATGTTCAAAAGGTCCACGAACTCTTTTTTGCATCTGTTGTTCGACCATGACGTCCCATCCTGTGTATCATATGCCGCCTATTGAAAATTGAAATCCAACCGCATTGATTCGCATCTCTTGGTGTGCGCGAACGAGTGCGAAGAGATGATGTGTGTTGAACGTTTGAGGGGACTTTTGGGAGAGAATCTGGACGTGTGTGTGTGTGAATGCTCCCCGGCGGTGTACTATTTATGTACAGCTCTTCCCTATCCGCACCACGGGGCATCACAAAATGTGACGATTTTGCTACCAGTTTTGTTTAAAGACAGTGTGGAGTAGCCAATAGACAACGAGGATATAACGTTGTCGTTAGTCTACAGGTGGTGCGGGTTCGCATGAGAGATGTGAATGGGGGTTGGACGATGGTACTGATTTTAAGATAGGTTACTAAGTAGCTTGACGAAAGTCCGCAGGCCTTCAGATCGGAAGGTTCTAGTGAGCGAAGTTGTTGGTAGCCGGAAGATGCCTTGGCTCCTTGAGCGCTTGCGGCTCCTGAGGTGCTCCAAGAGACGCGGGTACAGACAAGGCGACGTATTCTAGGATACATTCACACGGCAAAGATTGTCCGAGGAAAATTGGCGCTAAAGCCGAAGTAGGTGAAATGTTTGCCACAAGGAAGAGGAGAGGAGAAAATTTGGGCGAAATTCGGGTTATTATGTGTGTGCGGCCTTTCCTCTCGTGGTTCTGCTCTTCCGCGCGTGCCACCGTACGCTTGTTTTCATGTCGAACGAATGTGTATGATGGTCCCTGTGCCGATTCGGAACGTGGGGCATCATCGTTTTCGGGATGGCTACATACGTGCACAAGAGGAACATCAACATTAGTTGGAAGAAATGGAAACATGTTGTTGAGTGCTTTTCGCCACTCTCACCACTCTGGGCATACAGTGGTGGGTACTTGGTACCAACAGAGCATCTTGTCAGACGTGTTTTTCTACCGTACACGTTGTTTCTGGCACCTCGCAACTCCCGTCGGACCCCCGTACGAGCACCCTGGTGACATGGCACTCGACTGGCAGTAGTCAACACACCAACCGGCACAACACGAAAATCTTGACCCAGAATTTTGTCGACTTTCCTTGGACCGCCTCTGTTGCAAACATGACTCATGTTGTTGTGCGCGCGAAGGACCCCAGAGCTTGAGTGTCACGGGTGCTGTCATACACTGTCACGTTTGATATTTGTACTGTGTTGTACCGAACGGAAGCATGGCTGTAGTGCCAAGCAACACGCGTTTCCCGATATTCATGGTTTGTCGCACCCGGCTACTACATGTATATTGCAGCAACCAACCCTTCAGTGTTTTGCATATTCTTGGTCGTTCCATCAGCCAACCAGTCGGCCAGTTAGTTCTGCCGCGCTAGCGACGTATCATTCACTCATCGGAGCTGATGATCGTGTGGTCCGAGAGCGTAGGCATGCCAGCCCTTACCGCCTCTTCGTCGTCGTCATCTGGCATGTTGTACACAACCTGGCCATACAGGAGAAAATACATACGAGAGTCAAGTCAGTCAAGCGTTCGTGGACACGACGTGACTATAATCTCGCGGTGTCGGACGAGAGGTATCAAACCCATGTCAGCAGTGCCGCAACACACTACGGTACCCTGTGATTACGGTTGGGTCGGCCTTGCCTCTCCTACCTTGGAAACGATGAATTCGTTTCGCTTTAGCTGAATGCCCACGTCCGCGGGGGTGTCGTTGATGAGCGCTTCCAGCAAGTACTTGAACAGCAGCATGCCGTGCTCAATGCCGAGAAAAATCCACACCTGTGCATTGTTAACATTCGATCGCAGGGCTGAGGGAGACTCAGTCGTCGTCTCACGTTACCTACCCGTGATGAACCATCGCCTTTGTTCGGAGAAATACAAGACCTCAAAAGTTCGGAGAGCCGCTGCTGCCCGTTGGTTCGTTTGTTCAGGAACACACAGAATGTTGCGACACAGCTTGGTGTGGCAGTACCTGAACAACAGCGATGGATACTAACGTTTCGAGTCGGTCTTCAGCAACTAACTGCCGTCGTTCCTGTCATTCCTTCGGGAGGCTGTAGCTACGGGCGGTGGGAGTGGCGTGGTGGTGGTTCCCTACAAAGAGGACCTGATTCTTCAATACATTTCCTCGTGTGTTTACCCCCGACCCTGTTGTATTCGACCCCTTCGTACTCACAAGAATCCTTGGAGGCTTTCTCTCTCTACCCCCCCCCACCCCCCACCCCCCCTCTCTCTCCTTAGCTCGCTCTCTCTGGCGTGCAATACCCACGTACAGAACGTTTCTCGTCCTTAGCCGCACGAACCAATGTGGCTCTCTGGCCCTGTTAACTTCCCTCATTCCACAGATCGCTCGACCTCCGGCGTTGACCAAATCGACGTTCTGCACTAGCGCCCCTCCCCGCTGGTGTCTCAATACTTGAAGTAATCTACCGTTAGAGTACACGCTCAAGACGTTTGTCCCCAACACGCCCTAACTGTCTCTGCCTGCCCGTCTCCTGGTGCAGCTTCCGTTGCTCTTTGCTTTCGAGTGTGTCTCTTCCTCTCGTCCTACGTCTATCTTTCTCTGCGTTTAGATGGCTGCGTGTCTTGCGCTCACCCTCGTCGTCCACGTCTGGTTATGGAATATCTCGCTGGTAAAGGCGACTATCGCGCTATTGCTCACGACCGCCATCGAGGACATGATGGTGAGGATGGTGTGCCACGTGCCAATGTCCTCGGCCCCTCTTGGCTCCGGTCTTCGAGACACCTGCATGTTCGTAGCACAAGAAAAAAGCGACAAGAGCGTGCGACATTGAGAACACACAAAATAGGGAGGCGGTTGGTGGAGCATATGTGAAGTGCGGGAGGCATGGGATGCCGTACCGAAAGACCGTATATTTACGCTGTTGACGTTTTAGGCGCGTCATCTTGACCGGACTACACTCTACCAGACTTGGTGCAAAGCCAATAAAACGAAGGAATTTGGCCTTGCAAGCCTTGATGGGATGGGTCTGCATACCAAAGGAAGAAGTCTTACATACCTGGCAGAGCTTCCACGCGTCGATTCTGATCTCGATGTAGTTGTTGACCAAGGCCATGAGGCACGACAGCGGGTACGCCGCAACAAAGAGAGTCGCGTAGCCAAACTTTTTTTTGCGAAAAGACGGTGGGCGGCCGGGCATGGCAGTACAGAACGCAAGAAGACGTTGTGATCCCTCACTTGTGTGCCACTTGAACCACATCATCATGGCAACAAACGGAACAAATGGCACCCCTTTTCAGAGACCTCGCGATCCATACGAGACTCTTCCCCAAAAATCAACTCCCGCGGCACAGTCGCGACACGAACTAGGGCAGCACGCCCAGTGTCTTCTTGTGTCGAGATATCGCACACATGGGACTATACCGTCCTTCTCCCTGGAATCAGGTGGCAGCGCACGCACCAGTCGAAGACCAATGTACATTCAATATTTGAGAGGGTAATCCCGGTGTGGTCCTTGACACACAGCAGGCAGTGACACTCGCACGGGGCAACGAACCTCCAACGCCATACCGTATACCTGAATGATCATCTCGGCGTAATCCTTGAAGGTACCGAGCATGACGTCGTAGGTCTCCTTGATGTACTCCCGCTCCGGCCCGCTGAATGTCCTCTCTGGGTCTGACCCCATCGTTTCCTCCCTCTGTCTTCTTCGTGCCTGCCCGGAATCACACACAGCAACACGACACCCGAAGCATGAACGTCCAACATCGATCCCGTGTGTGAAGAGAGTGATTAGTGCTGGTAAATGGTCATGATTCAGTATAAGGGGCACGGTTGTTCCATGCTCTCGAGTTTCACGATGAACAAGGCACATAACGAACACGCCCGGTGCCGCTAGCCGGACATGGGGGCAGGACAACTTACTCTACTCGGCCACTCTATCGAAAGGGAAACGACAAAAAGGGTGTACATTTGCTCTCATCATGACATTACCGCCCTATCGTTTCTTCGGTCGGGATTCCAAGCCACCGGAACCCATTATGTATATAATAGGTCATGAAAAAACATGAAAATAAGCGCAACCTACGTCTAAAGAAACGAATCACTGTGCACCCCCTAGCGATACATGACGCACACGAAGGTTGCAGTGGACAATCATTAGTATGCACTGCAAAGAATGACGGCCATCAAGGATGTGGCGCAGGCTGCTGTAGGCATGCCTTTGCAACCGCACACTTGTATAGAACCTTCACCGCGCTGCACCAACAGCACCTACACCTACCTTGAGAATTGGAAGAACTACTTCAGATAAGTTCCCCACGGCCAGCCTAGCCAGGAACACCGTGCTCAGGTTTGTGCTCAGCTCGTTCATACAAGATACCAGGCACCTGCATAGATGTTCAGTGCGAGCATCCGCGAACAAGCACCAGGCGGATATATAGAGGAATGGACTTGGGTGCACTTGGTGATTACCACAATTCAACGGCGTTAGGGACCTCGTATTCTTCGTTCCTGTGCCTTTTTAAGACCGCTTTATAAGACCGCTTTTCAACGTAGTATGCGCATGAAGATTTCAACGAACGGCGTTTCAGCGTTGCTGGATGGAGTGGTTGGTTGTGCTTTTTGGTTCGTCTCACGCACGAAGTATCAAAACATGTCCTCCCGTGCCATGTACCGTATGACTCAATGTTACCCAAACCATACCAGTTTAGAAAACGACCATGATCTGCGTACTTACGGATTGCCAATGATCTCCTTGATGAAGGCGATGTACACCAGGGACGCGTAGGAGTTGACGAACTGGAACATGAAGGTTTTCGCGATCAAGTTGTCCTCGTACTCCGTGTCTGTGCGGTGGTTTTCCTACGAACAAAAAAAGAACGCCGATTTTTGGAAATAAAGAAGAGACCACACGCGTGCGGTTCTATTGCAGGTGAAACGTACGTGTATACAAGAGTGCCAACGAACAATTTTAGTTCTTGACTAACAACCACAGAGCCATACTACATACTACATATTCATCGTTGTTTATTCGTGAACAAGTTGCCAACGGGGGAACCAAAGCTGGTCGACAATATAAGTGTAGGTTCCTGTTCGAAGCACTGCCAGTACTGCAGATTTGTCAAGTGCTGCTATTTCCGTGTGGAGGATGCACCTACCGTATATGACACAAGATAACACACCCCCTGGACCGATTTTCAAAGCTCGATTACTCCACGACGAAGAGGATGCATAAATGAAACAATACGTTTTCGAACAGCTCTCGACGAGACGGTTCCAACGCCGCCGTTTTCGGCGCTGTGACTCTTCCTGCTGTTGAGAAATCGAGCTTTGAAAATCGGTCAAGGGTGTGTGTTATCTTGTGTCATGTACGGTACTTTGAACGAGGTGCCGACGACGTCGTGCACATATGGTTGTGTGTACGCACCAGGTCTGTGAGCTTGATGGCCACCGTGCCGTAGAAGGCGTTCATGACTTGGATCTGGACCGCGTTGACCAGGGGGGGGATGATCGTCGCGAAGGATACCCCCCACACGTCGAGCGCCGACGACTGAGCCGGCTGTTAATTTTCGAATTTTTCGTCCAAAACGAAAGAAGGAAGTCAACGGACAAGCGGCGAGGCAACAGGGCCCAACAAAGGAGATCAGAAAAATAATGCCTTCCCCTAACCCTAAGTGGAATTGAATCAAATGTGTTGTGTTCCGGTAGATAGATGCTGAGATAGCAAGCGATGACTTGTTCCTGCAACACCACTCATGATTGTTTTTTTATCGATGACTCTGTGTTGCTCCCCAACCCGATACTACCCTCTGGCTGATGATGTTTCCCTTGATGTGCGGCCAAGAATCACAGCCGAACACACTCATCGGCCCTGTCCTGTAACACGCCTTTGGTAGAAGCGTGATTGACAAACACTCGCCTGAGTGAGGAAGTACTTGAGCCAGAAGATGGACGCGACGACCCCTATGACAACGAGAATCAGGCCGAGGATGACGGTCTGGCTGAAGATGAAACGCTTCCGGCTCTCCGACGGAGGGAAGTAGTCCATCGGCTTTCCGTCAATAGTCGAGCTGGATCTGCACGGGAGGTGGCCAATCATACATCGATTGGGAGACAGCAGTTGCCAGAGGATTGCCCAAACCTTCGCTACAACCAGCAGGCAGAGCTTGGTCTTGTGCACCGTGATCGAACGTAAAGAATGGCTTTGATTTTGTCGAAGGGCTACTACAATAGTAGCGGGAGACCCGCACGTACGCGTGACTTCGGTGGTGCACGTTCATTGCATAAAAATGTGATACCGATGATATGATCTACTCTATGCTTCGTTCGTGCCCTTTCACTCTCTCGAATTATTAAGCCGGACGGTTTGTGTTGCATGCTGATGTCCTACTGATGCCCTGTGTACCATCTGATCCCACACGCATGAACTAAGAAGTACGTTTCACATGATACCCCCGATGCCTCGTTACCATAGACAAGGACAACGATGCTTAGTAATACCTGACTCATTCTGGCATACAACCTGTCCTGCGGTACATGTAAGCGACTGGGAGGCACATCCAACAAAAATGCCAAACCTGATGCCCTTGTACTGCGGCCTTGTCTGCTCCTGCTCCTCGAAGCCAGACATCCCCCACCGCATAGCACACCTGGCCTGCTTCCTTTTCCAGAATTCCGTGAAGAGTCTGTTTGTGACGACACCGAAGCGAATATGTGCACAGAAAAAACAGATACGGGGGGCGCACTCTCGTTTGTGTCTGGGCCTTAGTTGCATGATTCTAGACCGCAATCCTTAGGTCGGGGGGGGGGGGGGGGGGGGGCCCCCCCCCCAAAAATTTTTCCCCCCTTCCCCATTCCCAAAACCCAAATAAAGTTTAAAGGGGTCCGCCCCCCAAAACCTTTTGATTTCCCGGGTTGGTTTCAAAAAAAAACCTTTTTACCGGGGGGGGGGGTGGGAAAAGGTGACAAAAAAAAGAAAAGAAAGGGGGGGCCCGGGCCCCCCCTTTACCCCCCAAAAAAATTTTCAAACCCCCCTTTTCCCCCACCCCAAAAAAAAGGAAAAAAAACCCCAACCCAAGCCGTTTGGGTTTTTCCCCCCCCAGGGCCCCGGGCCCCCAACCCTGGCCCCCAAAAAGCTGGGGGGAAACCACCCTTACTTTTTCCCCCCCCAAAAAAAAAAAAAAAACAACCGGGGGCCCGGAAACCCCCCCCCCCCTTTCCCCCTTTTGAACCCCTCCCGGGCCCAAACCCCC